AAACGTGGATTTTTTAAAGAATAATTTTTTCAAGGACCAATCAACGTGGATTTTTTAAAGAATAATTTTTTCAAGGACCAAATAAACGTGGATTTTTTAAAGAATAATTTTTTTCAAGAACCCATAAACGTGGATTTTTTAAAGAATAATTTTTTCAAGAACCAATAAACGTGGATTTTTTAAAGAATAATTTTTTTCAAGGACCAAATAAACGTGGATTTTTTAAAGAATAATTTTTTCAAGAACCAATAAACGTGGATTTTTTAAAGAATAATTTTTTCAAGAACCAATAAACGTGGATTTTTTAAAGAATAATTTTTTCAAGAACCAATAAACGTGGATTTTTTAAAGAATAATTTTTTCAAGAACCAATAAACGTGGATTTTTTAAAGAATAATTTTTTCAAGAACCAATAAACGTGGATTTTTTTAAAGAATAATTTTTCAAGAACCAATAAACGTGGATTTTTTAAAGAATAATTTTTTCAAGAACCAATAAACGTGGATTTTTTTAAAGAATAATTTTTTCAAGAACCAATAAACGTGGATTTTTTAAAGAATAATTTTTTCAAGAACCAATAAAACGTGGATTTTTTAAAGAATAATTTTTTCAAGAACCAATAAACGTGGATTTTTTAAAGAATAATTTTTTCAAGAACCAATAAACGTGGATTTTTTAAAGAATAATTTTTTCAAGAACCAATAAACGTGGATTTTTTAAAGAATAATTTTTTCAAGAACCAATAAACGTGGATTTTTTAAAGAATAATTTTTTTCAAGAACCAATAAACGTGGATTTTTTAAAGAATAATTTTTTCAAGAACCAATAAACGTGGATTTTTTTAAAGAATAATTTTTTCAAGAACCAATAACGTGGATTTTTTAAAGAATAATTTTTTCAAGAACCAATAAACGTGGATTTTTTAAAGAATAATTTTTCAAGGACCAATAAACGTGGATTTTTTAAGAATAATTTTTTCAAGGACCAATAAACGTGGATTTTTTAAAGAATAATTTTTTCAAGGACCAATAAACGTGGATTTTTTAAAGAATAATTTTTTCAAGGACCAAAGAAACGTGGATTTTTTAAAGAATAATTTTTTCAAGGACCAATAAACGTGGATTTTTTAAAGAATAATTTTTTCAAGGACCAAAGAAACGTGGATTTTTTAAAGAATAATTTTTTCAAGGACCAATAAACGTGGATTTTTTTAAAGAATAATTTTTTCAAGGACCAATAAATGTGGATTTTAAAGAATAATTTTTTCAAGGACCAATAAACATGGATTTTTTAAAGAATAATTTTTTCAAGAACCAATAAACGTGGATTTTTTAAAGAATATTTTTTTCAAGGACCAATAAACGTGGATTTTTTAAAGATAATATTTTTCCAGGACCAAATAAATGTGGATTTTTTAAAGATAATATTTTTCCAGGACCAATAGACGTGGATTTTTTAAAGATAATATTTATCCAGGACCAAATAAACGTGGATTTTTTTAAAGATAATATTTTTCCAAGACCAAATAAACGTGGATTTTTTTAAAGATAATATTTTTCCAAGACCAAATAAACGTGGATTTTTTAAAGAATATTTTTTTTCAAGGACCAATAAACGTGGATTTTTTAAAGAATAATTTTTCAAGGACCAATAAACGTGGATTTTTTAAAGAATAATTTTTTAAGGACCAATAAACGTGGATTTTTTAAAGAATAATTTTTCAAGGACCAATAAACGTGGATTTTTTAAAGAATAATTTTTCAAGGACCAATAAACGTGGATTTTTTTAAAGAATAATTTTTTCAAGGACCAATTAAACGTGGATTTTTTAAAGAATAATTTTTTCAAGGACCAATAAACGTGGATTTTTTAAAGAATAATTTTTTTCAAGGACCAATAAACGTGGATTTGTTAAAGAATAATTTTTTCAAGGACCAATAAACGTGGATTTTTTAAAGAATAATTTTTTCAAGGACCAATAAACGTGCATTTTTTAAAGAATAATTTTTTCAAGGACCAATAAACGTGGATTTTTTAAAGAATAATTTTTTCAAGAACCAATAAACGTGGATTTTTTAAAGAATATTTTTTTCAAGGACCAATAAACGTGGATTTTTTAAAGAATAATTTTTTCAAGGACCAAAGGACAAATAAACGTAAAGTTTTTACAGAATAATTTTTTCAAGGACCAAATAAACGTGGATTTTTTTAAAGAATAATTTTTTCAAGGACCAATAAACGTGGATTTTTTAAAGAATAATTTTTTCAAGAACCAATAAACGTGGATTTTTTTAAAGATTACTTTTTTCGAGGACCAAATAAACGTGGATTTTTTAAAGAATAATTTTTTCAAGGACCAATAAACGTGGATTTTTTCAAAGAATAATTTTTTCGAGGACCAATCAACGTGGATTTTTTAAAGAATAATTTTTTCAAGAACCAATAAACGAGGATTTTTTAAGAATAATTTTTTCAAGAACCAATAAACGAGGATTTTTTAAAGAATAATTTTTTCAAGGACCAAAGACACGTGGATTTTTTAAAGAATAATTTTTTCAAGGACCAAATAAACGTGATTTTTTAAAGAATAATTTTTTCAAGGACCAATAAACGTGGATTTTTTTAAAGAATAATTTTTTCAAGAACCAATAAACGTGGATTTTTAAGAATAATTTTTTCAAGGACCAAATAAACGTGGATTTTTTAAAGAATAATTTTTTCAAGAACCAATAAACGTGGATTTTTTAAAGAATAATTTTTTCAAGAACCAATAAACGTGGATTTTTTAAAGAATAATTTTTTCAAGAACCAATAAACGTGGATTTTTTAAAGAATAATTTTTTCAAGAACCAATAAACGTGGATTTTTTAAAGAATAATTTTTTCAAGAACCAATAAACGTGGATTTTTTAAAGAATAATTTTTTCAAGGACCAAAGGACAAATAAACGTAAAGTTTTTAAAGAATAATTTTTTCAAGGACCAAAAGACAAATAAACGTAAAGTTTTTAAAGAATAATTTTTTCAAGGACCAATAAACGTGGATTTTTTAAAGAATAATTTTTTCAAGGACCAATAAACGTGGATTTTTTAAAGAATAATTTTTTCAAGGACCAATAAACGTGGATTTTTTAAAGAATAATTTTTTCAAGGACCAATAAACGTGGATTTTTTAAAGAATAATTTTTTCAAGGACCAAAACGTGGATTTTTTAAAGAATAATTTCTTCAAGGACCAAAGACACGTGGATTTGTTAAAGAATAATTTTTTCAAGGACCAATAAACGTGGATTTTTTAAAGAATAATTTTTTCAAGGACCAATAAACGTGGATTTTTTAAAGAATAATTTTTTCAAGGACCAATAAACGTGGATTTTTTAAAGAATAATTTTTTCAAGGACCAATAAACGTGGATTTTTTAAAGAATAATTTTTTCAAGGACCAAAGAAACGTGGATTTTTTAAAGAATAATTTTTTCAAGGACCAATAAACGTGGATTTTTTAAAGAATAATTTTTTCAAGGACCAATAATGTGGATTTTTAAAGAATAATTTTTTCAAGGACCAATAAACGTGGATTTTTTTAAGAATAATTTTTTCAAGAACCAATAAACGTGGATTTTTTAAAGAATATTTTTTTCAAGGACCAATAAACGTGGATTTTTTAAAGATAATATTTTTCCAGGACCAAATAAATGTGGATTTTTTAAAGATAATATTTTTCCAGGACCAAATAAACGTGGATTTTTTAAAGATAATATTTATCCAGGACCAAATAAACGTGGATTTTTTTAAAGATAATATTTTTCCAAGACCAAATAAACGTGGATTTTTTAAAGATAATATTTGTCCGGGACGAAATAAACGTGGATTTTTAAAGATAATATTTTTCCAAGACCAAATAAACGTGGATTTTTTAAAGATAATATTTTTCCAAGACCAAATAAACGTGGATTTTTTAAAGAATATTTTTTTCAAGGACCAATAAACGTGGATTTTTTAAAGAATAATTTTTTCAAGGACCAATAAACGTGGATTTTTTAAAGAATAATTTTTTTAAGGACCAATAAACGTGGATTTTTTAAAGAATAATTTTTTCAAGGACCAATAAACGTGGATTTTTTAAAGAATAATTTTTTCAAGGACCAATCAACGTGGATTTTTTAAAGAATAATTTTTTCAAGGACCAATAAACGTGGATTTTTTAAAGAATAATTTTTTCAAGGTCCAATAAACGTGGATTTTTTAAAGAATAATTTTTTCAAGGACCAATAAACGTGGATTTTTAAAGAATAATTTTTTCAAGGACCAATAAACGTGGATTTTTTAAAGAATAATTTTTTCAAGGACCAATAAACGTGGATTTTTTAAAGAATAATTTTTTCAAGAACCAATAAACGTGGATTTTTTAAAGAATAATTTTTTCAAGGACCAGTAGAACGTGGATTTTTTAAAGAACAATTTTTTTCAAGGACCAATAAAAGTGGATTTTTTAAAGAATAATTTTTTCAAGGACCAATAAACGTGGATTTTTTAAAGAATAATTTTTTAAAGGACCAATAAACGTGGATTTTTTAAAGAATAATTTTTTAAAGGACCAATAAACGTGGATTTTTTAAAGAATAATTTTTTAAAGGACCAATAAACGTGGATTTTTAAAAGAATAATTTTTTCAAGGACCAATAAACGTGGATTTTTTAAAGAATAATTTTTTCAAGGACCAATAAACGTGGATTTTTAAGATTACTTTTTTCAAGGACCAATAAACGTGGATTTTTAAGATTACTTTTTTCAAGGACCAAAGGACAAAACAGTGTGGACTTTTTATAGATTTTTTTCAAGGAGCATTCTACCATTATATGTTGATTTTTTTTTTAAGGACGTGGATTTTTTATGCAATTTTTTCACATTGTTACCTGGGTCTCATGAGAGCTCTCTCACGGCATTAGCCGCAATGAAGTGACAAATGCAACTTAGGATTAATATACGTTTTTATTTATGCGGTCAGTTGAGCGACAGAGTGCTTAATCCTACTTTGAATTAAGTGACTCATAAAAGAAAGATAACAAAGAGATCTAGAGTGTATATCAACTATGTTGTTAAATTTAAAACATTTAATAAATTTAAGATTTTCAATGAAAACTTTGCACGTCCCGTCTTCAGTTTTAAAATGTAATTCAATTTCTTGTTTCTCGTTTTCTTCATTTGTCCGCATCACATATAACCGTCCGGTTTATTTGCCACTAGCCAACAGCTTTTGATGTTTGAAATTTTTTAATAGACTTTTGCAATCCCATAGATCGGTTGGTTCATAGAATTGTATTAGCACCAGTTCATAGGTGACAATTGTACCGGCCACCTGAGGGAAGAAGCAAGAGAAAGAGGAAAAAAATTATTAGTTTAGAGCATTGGTGTTGTTTACTTGTTGTATTCGTGTTATCTGCAACAAAATACGATGTGTGTGAATATGGGTTGTCAATGAAATCGAACAAGCATGTTGAGAGGTTGAAGGTGTTTAACAGGGGACCCATACAATGTAGGACAAATGGTTTACATGATTTAATGATGTTTGTAAACAATGAAATGAATTGCTCTACAAAGGGATTGACGGTATATATGTCCATTGGTAATTGAAGAAATGATTCTTTAAAAATCCACGTTTTTTGTTCTTTGGCCCTTGAAAAAATTATTCTTTAAAAAACACACGGTTATTTGCCCTTTGGTCCTTGAAAAAATTATTCTTTAAAAAATCCATGTTTTTTTGTCCTTTGGTCCTGGAAAAAATTATTCTTAAAAATTCACGTTTATTTGTCCTTTGGACCTTGAAAAAATATTTCTTAAAAATCCGCGTTTATTAGTCTTTTGGTCCTTGAAAAAATAATCCACCTTTATTTGGTCCTTGCAAAATATTCTTTAAAAAATCCACATTTATTTGATCCTTGAAAAAAAATATTCTTTAAAAAATCTACGTTTATTTGTCCTTTGGTCCTTGAAAAAAATATTCTTTAAAAAATCCACGTTTATTTGGTCCTTGAAAAAAAATATTCTTTAAAAAATCTACGTTTATTTGTCCTTTGGTCCTTGAAAAAATATTCTTTAAAAAATCTACGTTTATTTGTCCTTTGGTCCTTGAAAAAATATTCTTTAAAAATCCACGTTTATTTGGTCCTTGAAAAAAAATATTCTTTAAAAAATCTACGTTTATTTGTCCTTTGGTCCTTGAAAAAAAAATATTCTTTAAAAAATCCACGTTTATTTGGTTCTTGAAAAAATATTCTTTAAAAATCCACTTTATTGGTTCTTGAAAAAATATTCTTTAAAAATCCACGTTTATTTGGTTCTTGAAAAAATATTCTTTAAAAAATCCACGTTTATTTGGTTTCTTGAAAAAATATTCTTTAAAAAATCCACGTTTATTTGGTTCTTGAAAAAATATTCTTTAAAAAATCCACGTTTATTTGGTTCTTGAAAAAATATTCTTTAAAAAATCCACGTTTATTTGGTTCTTGAAAAAATATTCTTTAAAAAATCCACGTTTATTTGGTTCTTGAAAAATATTCTTTAAAAATCCACGTTTATTTGGTTCTTGAAAAATATTCTTTAAAAAATCCACGTTTATTTGGTTCTTGAAAAAATATTCTTTAAAAAATCCACGTTTATTTGGTTCTTGAAAAAATATTCTTTAAAAAATCCACGTTATTTGGTTCTTGAAAAAATATTCTTTAAATCCACGGTTTTATTTGGTCTGAAAATATTCTTAAAAACTCCCGTTTATTTGGTTCTTGAAAAATATTCTTTAAAAATCACGTTTATTTGGTTCTTGAAAAAATATTCTTTAAAAATCCACGTTTATTTGGTTCTTGAAAAAATATTCTTTAAAAAATCCACGTTTATTTGGTTCTTGAAAAAATATTCTTTAAAAAATCCACGTTTATTTGGTTCTTGAAAAATATTCTTTAAAAAATCCACGTTTATTTGGTTCTTGAAAAAATATTCTTTTAAAAAATCCACGTTTATTTGGTTCTTGAAAAATATTCTTTAAAAAATCCACGTTTATTTGGTTCTTGAAAAAATATTCTTTAAAAAATCCACGTTTATTTGGTTCTTGAAAAAATATTCTTTAAAAATCCACGTTTATTTGGTTCTTGAAAAAATATTCTTTAAAAAATCCACGTTCTATGGTCCATGAAAAAATATTCTTTAAAAAATCCACGTTTATTGGTCTTTGAAAAAATATTCTTTAAAAAATCCACGTTTATTGGTCCTTGAAAAAATATTCTTTAAAAAATCCACGTTTTATTGGTCCTTGAAAAAATATTCTTTAAAAAATCCACGTTCTATTGGTTCTTGAAAAATATTCCTTTAAAAAATCCACGTTCTATTGGTCCTTGAAAAAATATTCTTTAAAAAATCCACGTTCTATTGGTCCTTGAAAAAATATTCTTTAAAAAATCCACGTTCTATTGGTCCTTGAAAAAATATTCTTTATAAAATCCACGTTTGTTTGGTCCTTGAAAAATATTCTTTAAAAAATCCACGTTCAATTGGTCATTGAAAAATATTCTTTAAAAAATACACGTTCTTTGAAAAAAATATTCTTTAAAAATCCACTATCCTTGAAAAAATATTCTGTTAAAAAGCCACGTTCCATTGGTCCTTGAGAAAATATTCTTTAAAAAGTCCACGTTCTATTTATCCTTGAAAAATATTCTTTAAACGGTCTACGTTTGTTTGGTCCTTGAAAAATATTCTTTGAAAAAATCCACGTTCTATTGGTCCTTGAAAAATATTCTTTAAAAAATCCACGTTTATTTGGTCCTTGAAAAAATATCCTTTAAAAATCCATGTTTATTTGGTCCTTGAAAATATTCTTTAAAAATCCACGTTTATTGAAAGAAGGTCCTTGAAAAATATTCTTTAAAAATCCACGTTTATTGAAAGAAGGTCCTTAGAGAATATTCTTTAAAAAATCTGCGTTTATTTGTCCTTTGGTCCTTGAAAGTCCCCTAATAATGTCCTTATTATAATTTAATGTTCTATTTTAATATATTTACTACAGATGTCCTGTCTAAGGACATATTCAACGAACCGAGAAATTAAAGACGAATCAAGTTGTATGGAGTTTTCCCTGCCTAACAATGGAGATTATGGCTCAACCAGTCGTTGGTCTATCATTGTCACACCTTCCCAGCTTATTTGGCAATTAATCAAATCAGCTTTTGTTCCAGCGCCCATTGAAGCCATAACTTTGCACTATTTTCATCCTTTCGTTCAGTCACTTAATTCGAACAGATATTTCAAACAATGGCATCAATGTAGAGTACAGATTGACTGGCTGACTAGCTGCCCGGCTGTCCTGTTATCCAAAATACTTCTCTTGGTAAATAAATTCAATTCAATGGCAAAGAATGAAAAGAAATGGACCTGGAATTGGAATTTCAATAACAAAGAAAAAATAAATGAAATGAATTTCAGAATTCCTGGCCACAATGGCCAGTCAGTCTATCAGCCAGCCAGCCAACCAGCCCGACTCTGTTAAGTCGCTATGGGAATAGAATGTGAAAGGCAGCCGCTACAAATATGCCATTGAACAACATGGCCAACATGAAATAAATAAAAAGGACTATAAGGATAATGCCGGCGATGTGAAAGCATGTCCATTCCGCCCGTAATCAACTTACACTCAGAACCAATTTTCTTGTTAGATGAAAGAATTTCATGCCACTCAATGCCACCAAATCACTGCTAATTTCGGTGGCAAAGCGTTTGACTTCCAGACACCAGGACTCCTTGGGCACGGAGCGTAGAACGCGTAAAGGTTTTCGTGATTCATCGTAAATGGCTGCCGAATACAAGGACACTGCCAGCGAGCGTAGAAATAGAAATACCAAAGAGAAATAGAAATAGACCATGCTGACGGCGGAGGACATGTTGCTGGAAGATGGAACGATATGAAAGCAGGTCTAATAAAATATTCATAATATTGATGAAAAGGGGGGAGAGGAAAGGGGAAACATTACCAATAACCAATTTTCATTTCCTCCTCTCCCTCCCCTCTCCCCCTCACCCACTTACTTTCTGCTCTTCAACAACTGCACACAAATGAAGTACAAATTATTCGAAAAGGACACCATGGTTATCATTGAAATGGCATTGTCCACCTTTTCGCACAGGATACACACATTGCGGTATTGGACACGACGCTCAGCCCAAAAGACAGCTGGCATTTGCTGGAAAAGGGAGTGGAATTTTGAAAATTTAATTTTTAATTTTTTTTACAATTTTGGAAAAAAAAATATGGGTTACCTTATTTTTAAACTTCTCCAAATTCTCATTGACCCGCTTGAACATATAGGTCAGTCCAATACTCATGATCATCACAAACACATCCATATAGTTCCAGATGAAAGTGGACATGACATTCAATAGCTTGCCATACCATCCCAATAAATAGGAATAGGGAAATATGTAGAACAGATGGTCGCTGGCAATGAGAAGGAAATTCTTCACCGGATCATCGGTGGCTCCACAGCGGGCCGCAAAGTAAATTGCTTGGGTAACGCTCAGCAAGTGTTCAGCTATGGGTGGAATTCAGGGAAATTAAAAAATTTTTGAATTAAAATAAAAATGTGACTCATGGAAATAACGCTTCGACTTTAGTGATGGGAGTACAAAATTTGGTCCTAGTTCTGCACTATTTGGTACTCAACGAATACCTCAATAGAATTTTAAGATAGACAACATTGCTTCACTTCTTCGGGTACCTCTCCCATAAAATGTCGAAACTTTCAATTATTTTGAGTCTCGAAATTTTTCTAAATTTCTTTGGTGATTGGAAGGGATCTATTGGCATTCAAAGGACAAGGGGTCGGAAAAGTGCGCCAATGGAAGCTTTAAAAGTAGGGTATTATTACATCTGGTACCTCTCCCATAAAGGGTCTACTTTTTGAAATATTTTTATTTTATTTTTTTTTTTTTGTGATTGAAGGGAATTTAAATTTCATAGATCCGAAAAATATGCAAAGGTACGAAACATTGTAATAATGTCGAAAACCAGGGCTCCGATTTGTTTGTATGAAGTTTTGCCAATGGTTTGACACCCTACAAAAGATCAAATCTATCGGAAAATATAATCAAGAGATATATAAATAAATTGCATTATGTTAGTAATAGATGTTCTCTGGAATGCGCGAACCGATGTTGTTCCTGCTAGCTTTATATGAAAAGTGATGTCTATTCCAAGGTTTTTATGTATAAATAGTGTTAACATTTTTAATTATTTTTGAAATTGTTTTTAATTTTTTATTTTAATTTTTTTGGCATTTAAACTACATGGTTCCAAAAAATAGCCAACGGTACAAAACATTGTACTAATGTCGAAAGCCTGAGTTCTGATCTTTTTGTATGCAGTTTTGTCAATGATTTGACACACCAACCAAGGTCTACTCTTTCAAAGAAAATATTCTGTACATATGTAAATAAGATACATTGTGTTAGTAATTGATGTTCTCTGCAATGCGTTAACCGATGTTGTTTATTTCAAACTTTGGATAAACGGTAACATCATTACCAAGGTTCTTATGTATAAATGGTTTCTGTGTGTGTATTGGTTCATGAGTTGTTTTAGTGAACATTGCATGCATTCATTTCAAAACATGTATTTTGAAGATATTTCAGTAACTGATTGAGTGGCTGATTCAAAGCCCAGGCGAAATGACAGAAGCTATAAAAAAAATGTCGTAAAGGTAATAAAAATGTAATCCATGGAATAAGTAAAACGGATAGAGGTAGAAATTGGAAATTTTGGTAGTATGAGAATTCGTAAATCCACGTTTATTAGTGCTTGAAAACATATTTTTTGAAAAACATGGTCCTTGAAAAAATATTCTTTATTGGTCTTTTGGTCCTTTAAAAAAATAATCTCTAAAAAATCCATGTTTTTTTTTGTCTTTGGTCCTTGAAAAAAATCTTTAAAAACCCAGGTTTATTGGTCTATTGGTCCTAGAAAAAAATCTTTAAAAACCCAGGTTTATTGGTCCTAGAAAAAAAATCTTTAAAAAACCCACGTTTATTTCTTCAGGTCTAAAAATATAAAAAATCTATTCTTTAAAAAATCTACATTTATTGGTCCTTGAACAAATATTCTTTATTGGTCTTCTGGTCCTTGAAAAAATTATCTCTTAAAAATAACAAGTGTATTGGTCTGAAGGTCCTTAAAAAATCCACGTTTATTGGTCTTTTGGTCCTTGGAAAAAATATTCTTTAAAAATCCACGTTTATTGGTCCTTGGAAAAATATTCTTTAAAAATCCACGTTCTATTGGTCCTTGAAAAAATATTCTTTAAAAAATCCACGTTCTATTGGTCCCTGAAGAAATATTCTTTAAAAAATCCACGTTCTATTGGTCCTTGAAAAAATATTCTTTAAAAAATCCACGTTCTATTGGTCCCTGAAGAAATATTCTTTAAAAAATCCGCGTTCTATTGGTCCTTGAAAAAATATTCTTTAAAAAATCCACGTTCTATTGGTCCCTGAAGAAATATTCTTTAAAAAATCCACGTTCTATTGGTCCTTGAAAAAATATTCTTTAAAAAATCCACGTTCTATTGGTACTTGAAAAAATATTCTTTAAAAAATCCACGTTCTATTGGTCCTTGAAAAAATATTCTTTAAAAAATCCACGTTTATTGGTCTTTTGGTCCTTGAAAAAAATATTCTTTAAAAAGTCCACGTTTATTGGTCTTTTGGTCCTTGAAAAAATATTCTTTAAAAATCCACGTTTATTGGTCCTTGGAAAAAATATTCTTTAAAAAATCCACGTTCATTGGTCTTTTGGTCCTTGGAAAAAATATTCTTTAAAAAATCCAGGTTCATTGGTCTTTTTGTCCTTGAAAAAATATTCTTTAAAAAATCCACGTTCATTGGTCTTTTGGTCCTTGGAAAAAATATTCTTTAAAAAATCCACGTTTATTGGTCCTTGAAAAAATATTCTTTAAAAAATCCACGTTTATTGGTCCTTGAAAAGAATATTCTTTAAAAATCCACTTTGATTGGTCTTTTGGTCCTTGGAAAAAATATTCTTTAAAAAATCCACGTTTATTGGTCCTTGAAAAGAATATTCTTTAAAAATCCACTTTGATTGGTCTTTTGGTCCTTGGAAAAAATATTCTTTAAAAAATCCACGTTTATTGGTCCTTGAAAAGAATATTCTTTAAAAATCCACTTTGATTGGTCTTTTGGTCCTTGGAAAAAATATTCTTTAAAAAATCCACGTTTATTGGTCCTTGAAAAGAATATTCTTTAAAAATCCACTTTGATTGGTCTTTTGGTCCTTGGAAAAAATATTCTTTAAAAAATCCACGTTTATTGGTCCTTGAAAAGAATATTCTTTAAAAATCCACTTTGATTGGTCTTTTGGTCCTTGGAAAAAATATTCTTTAAAAATCCACGTTTATTGGTCTTTTGGTCCTTGGAAAAAATATTCTTTAAAAATCCACGTTTATTGGTCTTTTGGTCCTTGGAAAAAATATTCTTTAACAAATCCACGTTTATTGGTCTTTTGGTCCTTGAAATCCACGTTTTGTTCCTTGAAAAATATTCTTTAAAAATCCACGTTTTGTTCCTTGAAAAATATTCTTTAAAAATCCACGTTTTGTTCCTTGAAAAAATATTCTTTAAAAATCCACGTTTTGTTCCTTGAAAAAATATTCTTTAAAAAATCCACGTTTTGTTCCTTGAAAAATATTCTTTAAAAATCCACGTTTATTTGTCCTTTGGGTCCTTGAAAAAATATTCTTTAAAAAAATCCACGTTTTGTTCCTTGAAAAAATATTCTTTAAAAAATCCAGGTTCATTGGTCTTTTTGTCCTTGAAAAAATATTCTTTAAAAAATTCACGTTCATTGGTCTTTTTGTCTTTGAAAAAATATTCTTTAAAAAATCCACGTTCATTGGTCTTTTTGTCCTTGAAAAAATATTCTTTAAAAAATCCACGTTTATTGGTCCTTGAAAAAATATTCTTTAAAAAATCCACGTTTATTGGTCCTTGAAAAGAATATTCTTTAAAAATCCACTTTGATTGGTCTTTTGGTCCTTGGAAAAATATTCTTTAAAAAATCCACGTTTATTGGTCCTTGAAAAGAATATTCTTTAAAAATCCACTTTGATTGGTCTTTTGGTCCTTGGAAAAAATATTCTTTAAAAAATCCACGTTTATTGGTCCTTCAAAAGAATATTCTTTAAAAATCCACTTTGATTGGTCTTTTGGTCCTTGGAAAAAATATTCTTTAAAAAATCCACGTTTATTGGTCCTTGAAAAGAATATTCTTTAAAAATCCACTTTGATTGGTCTTTTGGTCCTTGGAAAAAATATTCTTTAAAAAATCCACGTTTATTGGTCCTTGAAAAGAATATTCTTTAAAAATCCACTTTGATTGGTCTTTTGGTCCTTGGAAAAAATATTCTTTAAAAATCCACGTTTATTGGTCTTTTGGTCCTTGGAAAAAATATTCTTTAAAAATCCACGTTTATTGGTCTTTTGGTCCTTGGAAAAAATATTCTTTAACAAATCCACGTTTATTGGTCTTTTGGTCCTTGAAATCCACGTTTTGTTCCTTGAAAAAATATTCTTTAAAAAATCCACGTTTTGTTCCTTGAAAAAATATTCTTTAAAAAATCCACGTTTTGTTCCTTGAAAAAATATTCTTTAAAAAATCCACGTTTTGTTCCTTGAAAAAATATTCTTTAAAAAATCCACGTTTATTTGTCCTTTGGGTCCTTGAAAAAATATTCTTTAAAAAAATCCACGTTTTGTTCCTTGAAAAAATATTCTTTAAAAAATCCACGTTTATTTGTCCTTTGGGTCCTTGAAAAAATATTCTTTAAAAAAATCCACGTTTATTGGTCTTTTGGTCCCTGAAAAAATATTCTTTAAAAACTCTACGTTTATTGGTCTTTAAAAAATCCACGTTTATTGGTCTTTTGGTCCCTGAAAAAATATTCTTTAAAAACTCTACGTTTATTGGTCTTTAAAAAATCCACGTTTATTGGTCTTTTGGTCCCTGAAAAAATATTCTTTAAAAACTCTACGTTTATTGGTCTTTAAAAAATCCACGTTTATTGGTCTTTTGGTCCCTGAAAAAATATTCTTTAAAAAATCCACGTTCATTGACCTTTTGGTCCTTGGAAAAAATATTCTTTAAAAATCCAACTTTTTTGGTCCTAGAACAAATATCTTTTTTTTAAGTCCACGGTTATGGGTCGCTTTAAAAATCTACTAAGTTTTTCTTGTAATAATTTTTTGTTCGTAATTTACAAGACCTCATTCCCAACGTAAATTATGTCACTGAACTTTTTTTTACGAAAATGGGAAACAATCATCATCATTGCTTTCGAATTACTGATTACAAGCGATAATATGTTTGTCCATTTATTAAAACAACACAACGCAATTTTAAATCCTTAAATAATGGTCTTCTCATAAGGCCATAGATAAAATATATCCCATGGCCTGTGGCGCCCAACGTTCAAATAAATACTTTGAAAATATCAACCGAAAGCAATAAATCTTTGACTATTATTTACACAAAGCCAAAATCTAAAACAAACGACATTTTAAACGGGAAAAACACAGAATCATTACGGCTTTCCATTTGAAAGACTTTTGAACTTTTCAAAAGCAAGGAGAGATAGATAGAGAGGATGCGAAAAGTGTAAATCTCTTTTCATTTATCATTGGGCGAATGTCTCGCAATGTCTCGATTCCAAGAAGTCACAACAAAACAAAAGGAACACTTACCCAGCGACAATATCATCCCGACAAAGAAGACCATTCGTATCTTATCTGCCATGCGACGTTTCTCCTTTTGTGAACTGTACTCAGGTAGCTGCTGCTCCAGGCTGTGCCACTGCACCATTAGTTCCGGCCATTTGCGAGCCAAATTTAAGGCGCTCACACAAACAATTAGAATGGCAATGCGAAAAATCATTGGTTCTGGATGGCGTTGCGAACGAAATGGAATTAAATGGAGTGAAAATGGAACAAGCAAGGCGATTAGTTTTCAATTTTTTTAAAATAGGAAAATTCAAATGTTCGGAAAGTTTTGAAGTTGCTTTTAATTTTTTTCTGCTTACCAATATTGTTAAATGTTATCGGTGCATTTAGAACTTTGTAAACAGCTATTATGGAATCCACAGCACTGCAGGTGATGAAAATCAAACAGTAAATGGTTCGAATATGAGTCCAGGAGAAGGACAAATAGCGTGGATGAGAGGATGTTACTCCACGCACTGGCATCATGGCAAAACATTGGGCGATTAGAAGAACTGGAAAAAATAGAAAAAGGCAAAGAGACGAGAGTAGACGAACTTAAGACCGTCTTATACGGGCCATGGCCCCTAAGACGAGCAGATGGCCGTCGGAAAGACCCATGGCTCTTATAGACGAGCTGCTGGGCGTCTGAAAATGACATGGCCCTTATAGACGAGCTGCAGGGCGTCTGAAAGGGACATGGCCCTTATAGACGAGCTGCAGGGCGTCTGAAAGGGACATGGCCCTTATAGACGAGCTGCAGGGCGTCTGAAAGGGACATGGCCCTTATAGACGAGCTGCAGGGCGTCTGAAAGGGACATGGCCCTTATAGACGAGCTGCAGGGCGTCTGAAAGGGACATGGCCCTTATAGACGAGCTGCAGGGCGTCTGAAAGGGACATGGCCCTTATAGACGAGCTGCAGGGCGTCTGAAAGGGACATGGCCCTTATAGACGAGCTGCAGGGCGTCTGAAAGGGACATGGCCCTTATAGACGAGCTGCAGGGCGTCTGAAAGGGACATGGCCCTTATAGACGAGCTGCAGGGCGTCTGAAAGGGACATGGCCCTTATAGACGAGCTGCAGTGCGTCTGAAAGGTACATGGACCTTATAGACCAGCTGCAGGGCGTCTGAAAGGTACATGGCCCTTATAGACCAGCTGCAGGGCGTCTGAAAGGGTCATGGCCCGTATAGACGAGCTGAAGCGCGTCTGAAAGGGACATGGCTCTTGGACGAGCTGAATCGCGTCTGAAAGGGACATGGCCCTTATAGAGGAGCTGAAGGACGGCGAAAAGGGCCATGGCCCTTATAGAGGAGCTGAAGGCCGGCGAAAAGGGCCATGGCCCTTATAGAGGAGCTGAAGGCCGGCGAAAAGGGCCATGGCCCTTATAGAGGAGCTGAAGGCCGGCGAAAAGGCCATGACCCTTATAGAGGAGCTGAAGGGCGTCTAAAAGGGACATGGCCTTATAGACCAGCTGTAGCTCGTCTATAGGGACGACCTCTCTGGAGCTCGTCTATAGAAGACGACCTCGCTGGAGCTCGTCTATAGAAGACGACCTCGCTGGAGCTCGTCTATAGAAGACGACCTCGTCTATAAAAGACGACCTCTCTGGAGCTCGTCTATAAAGGACGACCTCTCTGGAGCTCGTCTATAAAGGACGACCTCTCTGGAGCTCCTCTATAAAGGACGGCCTATCTGGAGCTCCTCTATAAAGGACGACCTCTCTGGAGCTCGTCTATAAAAGACGAGGACCTCTCTGGAGCTCGTCTATAAAAGACGACCTCTGGAGTTCGTCTATAAAAGACGACCTCTGGAGCTCGTCTATAGAAGACGACCTCTCTGGAGCTCGTCTATGGAAGACGACCTCTCTGGAGCTCGTCTATAGAAGACGACCTCTCTGGAGCTCGTCTATAGAAGACGACCTCTCTGGAGCTCGTCTATAGAGACGACCTCTCTGGAGCTCGTCTATAAAAGACGACCTCTCTGGAGCTCGTCTATAAAAGACGACCTCTCTGGAGCTCGTCTATAAAAGACGACCTCTCTGGAGCTCGTCTATAAAGACGACCTCTCTGGAGCTCGTATAGAAGACGACCTCTCTGGAGCTCGTCTATAGAAGACGACCTCTCTGGAGCTCGTCTATAGAAGACGACCTCTCTGGAGCTCGTCTATAGAAGACGACCTCTCTGGAGCTCGTGTATAGAAGACGACCTCCTGCTTGTCTATAGAGACGACCTCCTTCCAGAGCTCGTCTATAAAGATGGCTTCCAGAGCTCATCCATAGACACCTCCGGCTTTCCGGCTTTAAAAACCCCTCGTTCCAAATAATTTGAGTTCACACATACACAAATACACATACATGTGTATACACATAACTTTTTACTTACTTTTGCCCACGGCCTCGTGAAAATGACCTTCATACATAAAATTATCTTTCGTGGCTTTCTGCAGAAATTCTAAGGGACACAGAAATTCCATCAGCAACAATAACAACAACAATCATGACAATGGTCAGAGAGGAAGAGAGAGAGACAAACAACTTACTCGTTGGCTTTTCCAAATATTCCTCATTGTTCGGTACATCGGTCCTTGAGGTGAAATACGAATGGTAGTGGTCTGAATCGCTAATTATTTGCATTCGTAAAGCCTGCGGCCGGGTGACAGGTAATTTCATGGATGCCAAACCGTCATTATGCGAAGTAGTCAAACTAAATTGAATAAATTTGTGGTTTTTATTTGTATGTGAGTGTAAGAGTGTGTTTGTGAGTGTGTACGTGTTTGTATTGTTGTCCAAAAAAGCCACAAATGTTTGAAACAAAAGAAGAAGGGATAATTTCTTATTTAAAACTTTTATTTATAGATTTTTAAAGAGAAGAAAAATCGATTTGAAATTTTGGTTTGTTTTCGGCCACTCATTGTGGCGACATTTGTAGCCATTCGTGTGTAAAAATTTTCAAAATCATTTGCATAAAATCCATTATTCAAATTCATTCGAATGGCCAGGAGAGAAAAATAAGAAGAAAGAAGACAAGTTGCTGACAGTTGCTGCAAACTTACCTGGTGCCGACGTTAGTGGAAATATTCTTTGAAAATTTCTTGGCATTTTTTCGATATTTCGCTAATTTTGTATTGAAATTATTCAATAATTTCATTATGACCTTCACAAAAAAGAAAAAAAAAATCGAAATAATTTAAAAAATCAAATACACGTTTTAAATCTCTCAATTCACTTTGGGGTACTCCACTCAACTGCTGACCATTTCAGATAAACGTTTGCTCCGCCTTTTTTTTAGCCAATTCATGTCAAGTTTTTTCCCCCTTTTTTTGCTTGGCCATTATTAATTGTTATAATTAATTCATAGAGCAAGCTGGCTAGACCGCCTCTCCCCTCCCCCACTCCTGCTGCTGTCATTTTTTTTTTTATCAGTCTCTTGTCCCGCTAAATGTCACTTGACATGAATTTCAAATTTCAAACGGTTTTCTCGCCTCCATTGTAATTGCAAATAAATTAAAACGGCTTTCTTTTGTGACAATGAAATTCGCAGAAAATTTTAAATGGCATTACCTGAACATTCAACATTAATCGACAATTTCACTTCTTTTCTTTTTTGCGACTAATGAAACAATGTTTTTTTTTTTTTTGGTTGATGATGACAAAAAACGGCGACTCCATTCCTTTGAATTTCTACGAATCTCCATCATCAATTACATGTCAAAACAAATGGCTTTTCATTTGTTTCGGCCGTTCATTGATCCGATCTCAACAAAGAAATGTAACGGATATTGAGATAAGTTCTAGACAATTTTTGGTATATTTTTTTAAAGAAATTTAGAAAATTTAAAACGTAATTAAGGTAGAGGCTCTAAATGAAGTGAAAAACAAAATAGTCTCAAAGTAGTGACAATTTTTCGAAAAAGCAAACAACAAGTTGAAAATTATTATAAAAGGTTTGCACAAATTTAAAAAAAAAAACCAGTAAGGAAAGCTCAAAAGTCGGGCGGGGCCGACTATATGATACCCTACACCACTATGCATATTAAGTAGAGCTCTCGTAAAAGGGTTTATACAGGGCATTTCAAAGCTCTATGAGATATTTGGTACAAAATCAAAATCTATCTAATTCTATCGTGCATTTTACGATCTATAGCTATCTCTGAACCGGGTTCCTGCAAATTTGACGTATTAGCTTCTAGACTGAATTCGGTCTTATGTACGAAAATTCAGGTGATTTGGGCTGATATTGACCATTTAGTGCACATTTTACCCGAAATCGGATGAAGATATATATGGGAGCTATATCCAAATCTGAACCGATTTCGATATAATTTAAAACAGCTATTCCTGTGCTTCATCTAATACCTGGTACCAAATATCACGGTTGTGGAGTGAATATTACGAATGTAAGGGACTAAAACACTAAATCGGATGAAACATATATATGGTTGCTATATCTATATCTGAACCGATTGTCACTAAATTTGATATACTTGCTTCTAGGCTGAATTTGGTCCGATGTACTAAAATTCAGTCCATTTGGACTTATATCGGCCATTTGGTGCACAATTAACCCGAAATCGGATGAAGATATATATGGGAGCTATATCCAAATCTGAACCGATTTCGATAAAATTACAAACAGCTATTTCTGGGCTGTATCTTATATCTGGTACCAAATATCATTCTTGTGGAGTGCATATTACGAATGTGAGAGGCTTAAACACCAAATCGGATAAAACATATATATGGGAGCTATAGCTGTTTCTGAACCGATTTTCTCCAAATTTGTTGTATTTGCTTTAAGGCTAATCTCGGTCACATGTGCCAAAATTCGGGCCATTTGGACTTATATCGGTCATTTGGTGCACAATTAACCCGAAATCGGATGAAGATATATATGGGAGCTATATCCAAATCTGAACCGATTTCGATAAAATTACAAACAGCTATTTCTGGGCTGTATCTTATATCTGGTACCAAATATCATTCTTGTGGAGTGCATATTACGAATGTGAGAGGCTTAAACACCAAATCGGATAAAACATATATATGGGAGCTATAGCTGTTTCTGAACCGATTTTCTCCAAATTTGTTGTATTTGCTTTAAGGCTAATCTCGGTCACATGTGCCAAAATTCGGGCCATTTGGACTTATATCGGTCATTTGGTGCACAATTAACCCGAAATCGGATGAAGATATATATGGGAGCTATATCCAAATCTGAACCGATTTCGATAAAATTACAAACAGCTATTTCTGGGCTGTATCTTATATCTGGTACCAAATATCATTCTTGTGGAGTGCATATTACGAATGTGAGAGGCTTAAACACCAAATCGGATAAAACATATATATGGGAGCTATAGCTGTTTCTGAACCGATTTTCTCCAAATTTGTTGTATTTGCTTTAAGGCTAATCTCGGTCACATGTGCCAAAATTCGGGCCATTTGGACTTATATCGGCCATTTGGTGCACAATTAACCCGAAATCGGATGAAGATATATATGGGAGCTATATCCAAATCTGAACCGATTTCGATAAAATTACAAACAGCTATTTCTGTGCTCCATCTTATACCTGGTACCAAATATCACGGCTGTGGAGTGCATAGTAGGAATATGAGGGACTTAAAGATCAAATCGGATGAAAGATATATATGGGAGCTATAGCTATATCTGAACCGATTTTCTCCAAATTTAATATACTTGCTTCTAGGCCGAACTCGGTTGGGTGTGCCAAAATTCAGGTAATTTGGACTGATAGTGGACATTTGGTGCACATTTAACCCGAAATCGGATGAAGATATATATGGGAGCTATATCTAACTTTGATCCGATTCTCACTAATTTCAATAGGGTTCGTCCTTGGGCCAAAAAAATATTGTTTGGAAAATTTCATCTCAATCGGATAATAAATGCAACCTGTCACAAGAATACATGGACAGACGGACGGACGGACAGACGGACGGACGGACATACGGACGGACAGACGGACTGACATGCATAAATCGACTCAGAAAGTGATTCTATGAAGGTTCTCAAAAGTAAGTATGGGTCTATCTCGTTTCCTTCTCCATGTTACAAACAAATGCACAAAGACATAATACCCTTACCACTATGTGGTGTAGGGTATAAATATCACGATTTTTTGACGACATATTTTAAACCTGCAATTTGTGTTAAAAAAAATATATATTTAATTTTTTGCAAGGAGATCCTACACATTTTTTTTCTTAAAAATCAGTTAAAAAAATTAACTAAATATTTACGATTTTTGACTATTGAAATAATTTTTTAACCATGGATTTTCAGCGTGACCTCCATTCGGTCAGATGGTCGGTTGTTCTCAAAAGGTCGTCAATTTTTTTTTTTCTTAAAAATCCAAAAATATATTTTTTGTCAAAAAGAGATTTTTTAACAAAATTGTGACCGGTCGTTTGAAAAAATAAGTTATTCAAATATTTCACGGTTAAATTCTTTCTTTAAAAACAATAGCAATTTTTATAAGGTCCTTGAAATTAAATATCTTATTATACCCTCCACCATACTATGGAGGGTATATTAATTTTGTCATTCCGTTTGTAACTCCTCGAAATACTCATGTCAGACCCAACAAAGTATATATATTCTTGATCAACGTAAAATTCTATGTCGATTTATCAATGTCCGTCTGGCTGTCTGTCTGTTGTAATCACGGTATCTTTCGAACAAATTGAGATAGAAGGCTGAAATTTTGCACATATGTTTATTTTGCCAGTAGACCGGTTAAGTTCGTAAATGGAGTCCACGTCATGTCATGTAGGTCCACGTTTTCACATAGCCCCCATTTAACGGTACCCCCCGGTATTTTGATGATCTTTGCGACATTATTCACCGGAATTGTTTCAAATTTGGTATTTGAAGTTCGTAATGGATATAACAGCCTATGACAGAAATTGTCTGTGCAGATCCACGTCTTCGTTTATAACGGCACATGCCGATAATCGGTATTTTGATGATTTTAGCTACATTATTTATCGATTTTTTCAAGTTTTGCATTTGAATACTGTAATGGCTTATGACAAAAGTTGCCTATGCAGGTCCACGTCGTCGTATAGACCCTAATATAAGATTTGGTATTTTTAAGATTTTAACAGAATTTCTAACGGATTTTATTTTATTTATTTATTTATTTATTTATTTATTTTTTTTTTTTGAAAATTGAGAAAATAGTTCGAAATGGTGAAGGGGATTCAAAGTTCGGCCCGACCAAACATACAGCTTTTTCTACCCTTCACCACAGTAACACCTCGAAATATACATTTTTACATTTTGATCAGCATAAAATTCGATGTCGATTTAGCGATGACCGTCCGGACTTTAGGAAATTGGCCAATGAAGCCCACGTTTTAGTATAGCCCCCATATAACGGTACCTCGCTATATTCGGTATTTTGATGATTTTAGCTACATTATTCATTGATTTTTTTTAAGTTTCGAATTTAAATACTGTATCAACTTATGATAGACGTTGTCTCTGCAAGTCCACGTCGTCGTATAGACCCTAATATAACGGCTACATTCGGTATTTTTAAGACTTTAACAGCATTTTTAAACGGATTTTATTTACTTATTTATTTATTTATTTTTTTTTTTTTTTTAATGCCAAATTCAATCCAAATGATGAAGGGTATTCAATGATCGGCCCCGCCTTTTTTACTTGTTATTTATTATTATTTTTCTCAAAAAACACGATTTTAATAATATTTTTATCACAAAATTTTCTTTAAAAATCCAATTTTTGTGCCGGGATATGCTTGTAAGAAATCTTACAATTCTTAAAGATTCCACGTTTTTTTTTTTTTCAGGAACTGTAAGAAAATAGTTATAAACAAGTAAGCAGAGGCTATAGTCGTGCGGGGCCGACCATGTGATACCCTACAACACCACAATATGATCGAAGTCCCCTTATATCCAAATCCATTTTGGAAGATTTCGTTTTTGAACTAATGTCAAAGAGCCCTGCCCAGAGGTTACCCTTAGTTTTTTGACCCGGAGAATTTGGCCAATATTTACGCACTCCGTAGTGTTGTTAATTCAAAACAATTTCACACGAAAGTTGTGGTCCATTTTACAACTAAATAAAATTCCAATGGTCATCCAAAATGCTAGACTTCTTCCCTGTAATTCCCTGTAATTAACCCTCTTCTGATGCGAAATTCCATGTCGATTAGTTTTCAATTCTGGCCCATAGAACGACTACAAAATTAAAA